CAAAGTCTGCACTACTATTACTGTTAATCTTCTCATCACTCCTTATCACCCATCCCCTCCCACTTGTGATTGAAGGACTGTAACTTTGTCGCTTGTATCCTTACGATTTTTATTGACTGTTTCCTAGTATGATTTGATTGTTGATTGTACCCTATGACTGTCATTAAATGTTGCACGTTATGATTCTTGATTCTTAATGAATGTATCTTTTCTTTATGTATACTGAGTGTATTTACAGCAAGACAAATTCCTTGTGTGTCCAATCACACTTGGCCAATAAAGTATTCTATTCTATTCTATTCTATTCTATTCTATTCTATTCTATTCTATTCTATTCGAACCAGACCATGGGTATTTGAGATCTTAACTCTTTGATGAGATAGTGTAATGTTAAGAGCACTAGAAGTTCATTGATTGGCTAAGAGATGCCAGCAGCAATGATCGGTGGTTTCTCCTGTTTGTATTGCTGAATGAATCAGACTGTTGGCCAGTCAGATACTAATTTGAGTCCTTGAAGTATATTGTTAAGCAAATGAAGAAACGTTAGGAAAGTACTTGAATGCATTCTTCCCATTTTAGTACATCAGTCCCCAGAAGGGGGAATGTAAAATCTTGAAATTGGCCCGTGAATTAATACCCTTTCAATTTCCTGATAGTTTTGGCTGTGATCATGGGAAACTGTCATATGGGCAGAAGAAAGTAAAGCAGAGCAGAGGGCACTTTCTACATTCTGAAAAAAATATTTCTCTGGAAGAAGCACTTGAACCTAAATCTCTGGGGAGCTGACTCAAGGAGCATTGTATGCCACTCACAGTCGGGATGCTAATAAAAGATGGCCCTTTTCATTCATGAACAAGCTGCTGTATTAAGTAAGAAGGAGTGCTGTGGGAAAGTTGTTTGTGAACTTTATGCGGAATAAAAATGCTTTTCATTATTTAGAAGTTTCCTTTTCCATTTCTAACCGTTCAAACTAAGCATGGCCATTTTTAGATTAGTAATTGGAGACGCTGCTTTTTGTTTTCTCATTGGAATCTGCATCCTGTGTTATTATAGCTTCCCAAGGTTGGAGTGCAAAGTATTAAAACTGAAAGGAAGAGGCACATATATTAATGGGGCAAGGGGGAGTGGGCAAATTTGATAACACATTGACAGGTACAATTTAAAAAAAGAATTAGGATGAATCTTTCCTGTATTCTATTAATGTTGCTCCTTTATTGTCAGAAGTAAATTGTACTGAGTTCAGAAGCAAAATATATAGATTTTAGTGTCAGTTCTCAATGTCTACTGGTGAGTTATTACTGAATAACTCACATATTCTTGAGCAATGGGTTTTGTAATAAAGATTGTATCATTATCATGGCACATTTATAATTGCCTTGCTCATTTCAATGTGGTAAGAATATATAGAATACCCACTGACCAAAACAGGAGATTTAATGACAACATTTATCAATTCTTTGATGCAAAGAATTTCCTACAAAGAACAGAACAAAAATATTTACTTAATATATTTAGATGGGCTAAGTAATAGTGGAAATTATTAATTAAAACCTGTTACAATATAAATTTGAAAGGAGTCATGTCTGTTACTAGCTATAGCAGTAGAACTTAAAATATCTTTGGTATCTTAAAAAAACAACATATTTATTGATGGGCCATTGGCTTCATTTATTATTTATTAAAAAATAATTATAATTATTGCTACCCAATTCACTCAATTATATTGCCACCCAGTTCCGAGCAACTTACAAAAATAAAACCCCAGTACAAAAACCAAAAACCCCTATTCCCCTTAGATAAAGATTTGTTCAATTGGGTGCATAAAGAGAAAATATTTTCAGATGCAGATTTGACATTCTCGTATACCAAGGGAGATAGATACAAATATAAATATATAAAAGCATCATTTAACACTGTTCATTTATATGTCCATATAATATTTAAAGCTTTAAAAATGTTTGGAAAGCTTCATTGCTTAAGTGCTCATGAAATAAGTGTAAAGTACTCACATTTTTTCTTCCTGAACATCATATAAAGATTATAACCCAATTCTATTAATAGTTTGTGGATGTTGAGAGCCATAGTTTCTAAGATAGAGATGACAGTTATGTCAACAATACTAATCATCTAGCTTCAAAGCTAAGTAGTACAGGGCAGAAAAATTCATTAAACAATAGGAAGGCTAAGAGAAAGAATTATTGGAATTAAATTATAGTGTGTATAAAAAGAGAATTGTACCTCCATCTTGACAAAGGACAGTGAATTGTTTAAGTGTCTTCTTGTAGTATGCAAATAAAAATTCTTAGCTAGACATGCCATAAAGGCTGAGTCTGGGCCAAGAGCCCAGTTAAGCCATACTGACTGAAGCATCCAGGAAATTCTAGGAAGACATACCAGTCAGCCTAACATGCAATAGGTGTGCCAGTTTTAAATACTAGCTAAGTGTTAAATGAGAACAGTATAAAATAATTACATGGATGTTTTTATTTGCGTGAAGTTATATTCCGGAATTTTTAGGTCAGGTTATTCCTTCTGCTGTATTCCTTCCTGAAAATATGAGGAGAAAAAGCAGCTGGTTAAACCATTTCCTTTCATTAAAACAAAAGCTCCTAATTGCAGTCTACACAAGAATCAGATCAATGGTTGTATCCTAAAAATAGATGAGATTAAAACAGGTCTTGGTCCTTAAGTGGACATAAGGCTTATTTGCAAGTTGGAAGTATTATTTGCTCCTGAATTCATTACCATGATAATAGGAGTGCTCTGGAGGCCCAGAAGAGATGCTAATGACCTGCATGTGGTTCTAAGGCTACACTGTTTCTATCCTGATCTAAAGTCAATTTGGCTGCCTGGAGATGATTTCCCCAAACTTGATGGGATTTAATCACCAATTGGAACAGTCATGGAATTGGGTTTTTCCTAACATGTATGTATTTATTTATTTATTTTGTCAAGCGATTATAAGGTAACAGGTATAAGTATAAACATAGTTATGAGTACATGCAATGGATACATATAAGAAAAATAAAAAGAAAAAATAGGACAGGGACAGTAGACACGTTGTTGCGCTTATACACACCCCCTACAGACCTCTTAGGAAAGGGGTGAGATCAATAGTAGAAAGTCTAAGGTTAAAGTTTTGGGGGTTTGGGGAAGTCAGGTAGAGTATTCCAGACATTGACTACTCTGTTGCTGAAGTCGTATTTCCTGCAATCAGGTTTGGTGCAGTTTACCTTGAGTTTGTATATATTGTGTGCTCTTATATTGTTATGGCTGAAGCTGAAGTATTCATTGACAGGTGGGACATTGAAATATATAATTTTATGTACTATACTTAGATGGGACCAAAGGCGGCGTAGTTCTAGGTTTTCTAGGTCCAGAATTTCAAGTGTGGTGGCATAAGGTATTCTGCAACGAGTAGAGGAGTGGAGAACTCTTCTTGTGAAATATTTCTGGACTTTCTCAACTGTATTAATATCAGATACATAATGCAGGTTCCAGACTGATGAGCTGTATTCATGCGTTGGTCTAGCAAATGTTTTGTATGCTCTAGTTAGTAGTGTGATATTACCAGACAAAAAGCTACGTAGGATTAGGTTAACAACTCTTAATGCCTTTTTGGCTATGTAGTTACAGTGGGCTCTAGCACTTAGATCATTAGAGATGAGTACTCCAAGATCCTTGACAGAGTTTGGATCATCAAGAAGGTCTTGACTATTCAGCTTGTATTTTATTTTCTGATACTTTTTTTGCCAATATGTAAGACAGAGCATCTATTTGTTGAGATTTGAAGTTGCCATTTGTTTGACCATTCTGATACATAGTCGAGGTCTTTTTGAAGGGTAGCAGTATTGTGTGTGATGTTGAATAGCTTTACATCGTCAGCGAAGAGAACGCAGTTGCTCTTAATATGATCATAGAGGTCATTTATGTAGAGTACAAAAAGAGTTGGTCCTAGAACACTGCCTTGGGGGACACCACTGTTGACAGGTACAGAATTTGATAGAACGCTCCCAATTTTGACCGTTTGTTGCCTGTTTGACAGGAATGCTTCTATCCATTTATGCAGGTGTCCAGCAATACCATAAGATTTTAATTTTAGGAGTAGCTTGTCTATATACTGTAATTATATAGTATAAATATAATATGTAATCGTCCCCTTTCTAAAAAAAATTGCTTCTTGGTGCTCTAATCTATGAATCATTTCCCAGCCCTCCTTTCTATCCCCACTCCAATTTTCATTGTCTTTATTATTTCTTACACTTTTTTTCTTTTTACAAACCTTCATTTGGGGTGGAGTTATGGTGACTGAATGGAGCTGAGTCCTTCCTGATCCCTATGCAGAATTTGCAGCAGATATTTTCTCTTTGCGCCCTGAGAGAAAAACACCTGCTGCTACCTAGGAGTAAAGTCTCAACCTTCCGAGTGGGAGGCGAGCACCTTCACCTCCAGACCACCGCATTGCTCTTATTATTTCTTATTCTAATAGCTATTTAAAATCTATCTCAGTATCCTAGACATTATTTTTCAGTACACTTCCGAAGGTAGCTGCTCAATAAAAACAATTTGCCATTAGTTACATTTGAGCCAAATAGCATACTTTAGGCAATAATAATTGTTCTCATTATTTATATAACCTTTCTAGGGAAATAAATGAATGGCAAAGATCTTTTGGAAAACTTCTCAACAGAGTAATCCAAAATTAGGATGTGATTTAATATTATTTTTTCTTGCATCTTTAGCAAAGATATATAAATAATAAAGTTGGTGTTATGTGTTCTATAAGTATTTCAGAAGTTTTTGCATGACAATCAATTAAATTAAAATGTTTGATTAATAATAAATGTGGAGTTATACTTTATGATAATGATTTCTGATTAAGTGTTGAGTCTTTCTACATTGGAAATGGTGCTGTCCTATTAAGTTGTGTTCTGATAAGTGTAATTGCATTTTTTTATAAGAGTTCCTTATGGAAACCATTATGTCTCTTATTTAAGCAGAAAAGAGGAGCAGAATTAAACTAGAAAGTGCACAGACTGTTACAGCCAATAAAACGTTTCCTCCAATCCTCCTGAAAGGCCTAAGTGATCTCAAGGTAATGGATGGGAGCCAAGTGATTATGACAGTAGAGGTTTCAGGTAAATATTTGTGTTTTCTAGTGGGAAAACTTGGGAAGAAGGCGATATAGAAATAGAACTAAATAATAAATAATAAATTGCTCGTAATTTTAACAAGGGTATATTCTGTTTTGTAATTGAGCAGTTTTTTGCCTTTGGTTCATGTTTACTCCCTTTTTTCTTTTTTTAACTTTTTTATCATTAGAGAAGCCAGGGAAACCAGTAGAATCTAAGGTAAATAGATGGCTCTACTGTCATTGTAGAATAAAGAAGTGCCTCCTTTTCCTAGAATATGCTTATGTTAACTTTAACATGTTAATTATATTATATGATTTTTGTGCATTTCTTTGGGCTTTGTTGTAATTTATCCAGACCCTGTTTGGGTTAGGCTATAAAACTAGTACAAACAAATAAATAGAACCCTTTATCTAGATCTATGGAAGAGTGAGAAATGATTTGTGAAAACTCAGTTTTTCTATTAAATAATAGGATTAAATAGGGTACAAAACAATAAAACACACAATGAGAAAAGTGCCAAGAGCACATGTGAAGAAACTATTATTTCTATTTTTTGCAAAAAACATTTTCAGAAGATTAGAAAAAGGAATGGGGTAGGACAGTTCCACTAATTCTGGAACATAATGTGTATGTTTGAACACATGTTTTGCTTTTGATAGGTAGCCATTATATAATAGCTGATCAGACACAGGTGCATTGATGTGACTAAAGCCAAAGAATTGGTCTGTGTGTGCATGTATGTATGTGCAGATAAGAATTCACTAATATTCTATAATGTTCTATATTATATCCCTGTACTTTACTGAGAATAGGGCTTTTTAATATCGTTATGGCAACAGGAAGTCCATGTGAGTTTCTTGTTCTGCCTTATCTTATAGTTGCAGTTGGCCTAATAGAATAGTTCATGACTTCCCCTGCTGCCTTTGTTTTATCTCAAAGACTTCTGTTTTATTTGTGGCTCAGCTAATCCACCTCCTGAAATAATTTGGCTTCACAATGGTAAAGAAATCCAGGAAACAGAAGATTTTCACTTTGAGAAGAAGGGCAATGTGTATCGCCTCTGTATCCAAGAGGTATTTCCCGAGGACACAGGAGAATACACCTGTGAGGCCTGGAATGACTTGGGAGGAATTCATACTGAAGCAACCCTGACTGTACAAGGTAAAGATTTTATATCTATATGCCGACAGGTATGCGTGCACGCTCACAGACACACACACACACACACACACACACTTACTGCATTGTTTAACAGCTACACTGGAAAGTATTCAAAAAGTTGAGAACCTCCCTGCCTCTCTGAAACTCCATAGTTTCCCTTTAGATACAATTTTAATGGATATTGCCATTCCGCTTCACTCGGAAAAATGTACTCTAATTTCTATAACCAGAAAAGAAAGTATTAAATGAGAATACATAGATTTAAAAAAAAGTTGTGATGTGTTTCTGTAGTGTAGAGGGTAAAAGCTTAGGGATGTGACTACTCGACTGAATAGTTAGTTCAGAAACTGGATTATGAATATAACATGTTAAGTTCAAGTTACACTTAGTATATTCTATCTATTGTTTTCTTATTTATGGGTGAAACTATATATGTGCTTGTGTGTGTGTGTGTGTGTGTGTATAATTATAAGCAGTTACATTTATTTGTTCAAGCACCTGATGGAATGGAATATTTAAAGATAGAAATTATGTATATTAATTACCAGAATAGCAGTAATATACTGCCATTTACTTAATGACCTAATTTAGACATTTCATGTATTTAGAAAACTACAGGCCATAAAATAATAGCTTTGAGTAATCTAAACAAGCAAAGAGGGAGGAAGCCCATATGTTGCATGCATGGACACAGACATAGTGTCTGTCAGCAATTCCAGAAACCAAATATATTTTCTCCCAGAATTGCACCATAGCAGTTCTGGGAAAAGTTGCTGCTGCTGCCACTTTAAAGGGTTACCAGAGGGTGCTGCACAGCTGACCCCTGAAGCATCATTTTACTCTTCAGATCTGAAGTAATGCATGGGCCTATTCATGATGTAGCACTTCCACAAAGAGACTTAAGGTTACAATAGCTAAGGCCATGGCACTAAAGCTAAAGGAAGCGCAGCGCAGCCCTTGTGAGTATAGTGAATGATGGCAGTGAATTTTTGTGAAGAGAGTAAAGCAAAACACATAATGAAAGCAAATGTTATTTAGCCAAAATGAGACACCCAGCTGCATGAATGTGCTTATGGGAATATAAAAAGGGTAAAGTTATACACAAATGCTTTATTCGAGCATGCATCCATGGATATTACATATTAGGGCAGGGATGGAAAATTTCTATTGAATTATTTTATCAAGGCCCAAATTCTTTTAGGAATACTCTACTGTGGCTCACATGCATGGGAGTGGAGTTCCAAAGCAAAGTGAACGAAGCCACTCCCTTTCTTCCCACTCTCCCTCATTTTCTTCTATAGCCCATTTCTCACTTTCTCTACTTCTGGCTGCACAGTCTCCTTGCAGAGAATATTGATGGAGTAAATAATAATGAAACAGTGAAGATAGTTTATGGAACATACCCCAAGATTCGCAGTAGATGAGAAAGGTTTAATCATTAAACTCTTGCATAAACATTCTTATATGTATATAATTATCTGCAAATGGGTTATGATTAAATATGTTGTGTAAAGGTTCGGAGCTTGATAATGACATTGTACACTGTTTTTTTCCCACCTATTATCCTCAGATATAATAGACAAATCCCAGTCTTCAGTCCATACAGGTATAGAATTCTAATCTAATGCATCTGGAGGGCACTAGGTTAAAGAAGGCTGCTCTCGGGTTTTGAAAAATTTGCATTTTTTTTTTTGGATTTATTTATTACTGAGACTATAAAAATAGCAAATGAACAGCTACAAAGTTAACTGTCTTCTCCTGAGATAATTCTATACAAGGGAATAACTCTCAAGTTGAGATCCCTTGTGTCTTCATTCTCGAGTATGTGAAGCAATCTCGATTTTATTTAATAATATATTATTGTAAATTTCACATCAGAATTTTAGGATGCCAGGTACTGATTTTTTTTGGACATTTCATGGCTTCATTTCTCATTTGTCTAGATATTTAAAACAACCGTGGACTATATTTATCTTTCTTCCATTTATTTACTTAAACATTCTCTCCAGCCCACAGCAGACCAATTTTTTTTTAAAGAAATACACAATGTACCATCTGGGTTGTTGCTTTTTGTTTTAAAGACTTCAGATTTTTGGAAGCAAAAGAAACATGGAGATCCTCCGGGAAACTTCTTATAAAGTCAAACACATCTGAAATGACTGAGCTACCATCTCTTTACCTAGACGCAATAATGTGTTCGCTCATCTTTTTCCCCAAAAAATGTTTCCTTCTGTATTTATAGATCACCTTGTTTGTTTGATTCCCCCCCCCTTTTTTTTTTCTTTGTAATCATATTAGACATGCTGTCGTTGTAGCTATTATGGAAACTTTTGTTACAGCAAACACTTAACTATTCAGATGGAAATTATTTGAGTATTGTTAGCTTCCTCAGGAAAAGGGATGGATGGATATATAACATGCAAGTTTTCTGCATGTTGTGCAAAGTGACTTATGATAAAGTCTGAATTTAAACTTTTAGTATTCTGAAGAATTACCTATTAACTTGTGATGAAAAAAAGTGAAAGAAAACTTAAAAGGAAGTGACACGATCCCTTATTTCAGAACATAGCATTTTATAAGTTTGTTTGCACTTTCACAAATGGCTGCTGTGGTAAGCATGGCCATTGAGAAAAGTATCCTCCTTATGCTATATAGAGAATTGCTAAAGAATTGCTAAAGAGAATTGCCTCTGCTGCTGCACTAGCCAGAATATTGTGAGTAGGTTCTCAATTCAGAATATGCATCCAAAGCAAAATATCCATAAAATGGTTTGTCAGAAGCTAAATGAAATTCAGCACATGTGATTCCACCAGTGCTATTAAATTTTCTCCCTGCCCATCTTAACATTTTTTTTTCTTTGTGTTCCAGAACCTCAGGATGGTATTCAGCCATGGTTTATTAGCAAACCACAGTCAGTGAGAGCAGTAGTGGGGCAGAACGTTATTATTTCCTGTGCCATTGCTGGAGATCCATTCCCCACAGTTCATTGGTTCAAAGATGGAGAGGAACTAACAACAGAAGCAGGCTATGAATTCCTACAAAATGAAGACATCTTCACCTTGATTATAAGGAATATTGAACCTTGTCATGCTGGCCAGTATGAAATACAACTCAGGTATGTTGAGGGAAGTATATGTTTATAGGAAGAGTAACTTTTTCAATTGTCTAAACATGAATAAGGCATTTTATTTCTATTGGGCTTTGCTTTCAAGAAAGTGTTCATTATATATATTTGCCTGTGGGTTCCTAGGATATAAATGCCTACATTAGTTGCCATATGGATTTCATATTAAACTATTGAAACAGTCAATATTCTCCTCACTACAAGCAGTTGCTCTCCTGGCCTATTCTTAGTTTCTTTATTAATTTGCTTACCTCTAATAATTTTTTTAACATTCAATCTGCAATTCACATGTGATCCTGTATGTTTATTTGTTCTTTCTTTTCTCATATAACGGTCAGTTAAAATCAAAGGCTTATATTAAAATGAGTGCTTTCATTTTATGCAACTCAAATCTTGAAAGAAACAGGCACACCTAGTGGGTTCTAGAGTCAAGGTCCCACAACCAAGAAATCCTTCACTCGGGAGAATGCTTCGAAACATTGTCCATTGGAAGCAATTGTGATGCACAAAACATCATATTTGAACAAAACTTTGCATGGTAGAAGTATGGTCTACTTGTTATGAATGAACACAATTTGTTCAGAAATATTTTTTGAATGTTTTGGTTATTCTACATTTTTGCTAGAACAACCCTGGTATTTCTGCCATGGGAAGAGTGAGATTCAGGATTTGAGTTGCAAAAAATCTGGACCCGCTAAAAGTCATACAGGAGTAATCTGTTTGCTACCCCCTCACTGTATTGGCTGGAGATCTGCAAGGTAACCTTACCTCTCACTTACCTGGAACTTGGAGGTGTTAAAACCGGAAGGAATGGGAACACAGAAGTGCCTTACCAAGTCTTGCAGAGAGCCAGGAATGTTAGTCAACTTTCTCCCTCTTCCCCAGTATTTAAATGGTTACTTTTCTCCCTTTCCCCACTGGTTGTACACACAAAAAATCTGATAAATTAAAACGATAGCTTTTAATTTGATAAAACAAGCATTAGTGAAAGAAAAGCAAAAGAGGGATTTCTCCCCCAACACACACACACACACACACACACACACACACACACACACACACACAGAGGGAGGGAGGGAGAGAAGAAGAGCCCTCCCTGGCTATTCTCATGTGCATCTGAAATGGACATTCTCAGTAGCATTCAGAATAAAAGAATAGCCAGGAGTCGTAATTCATGCATATATCCTTGCTCAGCAAAACCTCTTTTGTTTTCAGGCTTAAAGCACTAAAGTCCGAAATTGTAAGAAACATGTCAAATCAACTAGTTAAAACTAGCTTTTATAAGCCATACTATGGATTTCATCAACAGCGTGCTCTCAGTTAATGCATATTTAAGCTAAATAGCCAACCATAGAGAGTATTTTTATATTCTTAAGTGCACTTTGAAGTCTCCATAAACAAAAAGGGCATGAGAGAATGTAGGGGGCAGAATGGGCAGACACCAAATTTAAAAAAAAAGAAAGAAAACCAAGAGCCGAAATTACTCTTTGCTTTTCAAATGGACTCAAAGTCAAAAACTGCAAAATGAGTTGACCAGGTTAAATAAGCCAGTAATATAGATATTTTGAAAAGCAGTCAAGTCAAATTCTGCTTGCTGAATTTAGCTGCTCATGTATCGTACTCACTCTTTTGTCCTGTTTTATGGAGCCTGGAGGGTGCCTTTGAGGATGACGATACTTTATACTGTATATGAAGACTAACAGTATGCCATATTTGGATCTGTAGATCTGGCATAAGTACTCTTGCTGCATCATTTGGCTTCTTAATGAAGCTGATGTTTTTCCTGGCTCCCATGGTGGGCTACTTTGGGTCAGGAAATATGCAGTTGATAAGGAAAGCAGTGGAAGAAATCCCCTCATTCTCACCACTGTCCCATCAGTGCACATTGTGAGAAAGGAAAGAGTGGTGCACACTCAGTTGAACCAAATGTTTGAAGGGACATGGATGTAAAGTTAGGACCTGATGCTCTTAGCAATTCTGACACATCTTCCTGCATCACTGAAAGTTAAGTTAATTAAGCTGAAGAGTTTGGAGAGCTAAACTTTTGGGGGATTACCAGATAAAACCTGGCAATCAGAGGAAATCAGATACAAATGGTGGTGAAATTCCGATCCTCCATCATATCGAATGGCTGATTTTCTAAAATCATTAATTGCATGATTGCACTTATCAAGTTCCATACATTCTACCATTTGTACAATCAACCTCGCCCCTCACTCTAGTGTAACTTCCTACATTAGCATAATCACTCCATGTATTGGATGAAATGAACTGCAATTCATAAAAGTCCCTGCCTTTTAATAAAAGGTGTTACCAGTATCCTGACTTTTTTGCCACCAGAAAGTAACATGGTGGCTCTCTTCCTATGTATCCTTTTATCATAAAAGCTAAAACCCAATGAAACATCTAACTTGCTGCGATCAAGAACAATTGTGTTATGAACAGAAGATGTCTCTATTCAGGTTGCTTCTAGAGTGAAACATCTGAAAAATATGTTTAAGCCCAGTCTAGTCCCCTGTGAAATTAGCTGGTCTGTACCAGCTGAGAGTTTGGATCCCCAAACTCTTCAGCTCATTTTATATTTATTTATTTATTTATGTTTATTTTTGTCAAAAGCTTACAATATAACAGAAACAAGAATAAACATAAGTTTGTTTTTTTGAAAGTTTTATTTGGGTTTTCACAAAAACAAAATACAAATAAAACATCTTTTTTGAAAATAGCATGGTCCCAGGTTATCACTTCTTCATACAGACATCAAACTCAATTTCATGCTTATTTTTATATTCTATTCCATATCTTATTACCGTTTTATATTTTCTACAAAGTTTTTCCCCTCTTTTAATTTTCTCAACTTTATTTTAATTCTCTCAATCAAATCATTATATTTATACTTTTCCCTGTCCTGTTTCAATTTCATATCTTTTCTGATTAAACAATTTTTTCCCTGTCCTGTTTCAATTTCATGTTATCTTTTCTTATTAAACAATTTTTTCCCTGTAGTTACCAATTGGATTATGACACCTTTATATCTTTTAATTTTATCCATCCAAACTCTTATTTAACTTCAGTGAATACCTTTAAGATTATAGCATTCAATATAATACATAACTTCCAATCGAATTCTGCTTGGTACATTCTTAAAATACACACTATATTCTTAAAAAGAATATATATATATATGGGGATCTTTGGTTGTTCGGGTTTTCTCCCGCGTAAGATTCGAAGTATCTAGGCAACGTTTCGATGAAGTCTCATTCATCATCTTCAGGCTTCTGTCTTCGGCTCTTGCTTCTCAGAGTGATGTGAGATTGCAGCTGCTTCTTCCTTTTAACTGCTAGTGGGGGTGGGACTTGATTGGGTGGGGGTTTGGCTGTGTTCTGATTGGTTGGGGGGTTGGCCGTGTTCTGATTGGTTGGAGGCGTTTCTGTTCAGGTGGGGGCTTGGTTGTGCTCAGCTTAGTCTTAGTTGCTGGGGGATTTGAGTTGGTGAGCTGTGATCTTGCTGTTTGGCTTCGAGTTCGTGGTCGTGCTGCATCTTCATAGTGGGTGTCGGTTTGCTTCATGTATGGCTCGGAGGGGTTTGAAGTGGGTAGTGATGCAGCTGCAGTGCAGCTTCTGGTCCATGGTCGTGTCTCATCTTCTGAGTGGGTGTGAGTCTGTTTTCTACATGGAAGTGTGGTGGTGGCATCTTGTGTGGCTCTCATGGGTGTGGGTCTGGTGTCATTCTTCATGTTAGGTACTCGTCTGTTCATGAGGGCGGGTTTCCAAATGGCTGGAAGCAAGAGCCGAAGACAGAAGCCTGAAGATGATGAATGAGACTTCATCGAAACGTTGCCTAGATACTTCGAATCTTACGCGGGAAAAAACCCGAACAACCAAAGATCCACATACAAATACCCGCGAGAACCTCAGAAAACAAATATATATATATATGTAAATAAAGCATACATTCCATTCCAATTCAGTTCTATCATTAATATTCATTAAAATCTTAACATCTTTAACGTTTCTTTTCAATTAAATATCATACTTCCTTGGGAACACTTATAAACTTTCCATAGTTAATTCTTTTTTTTCCATATTTCTCACTTATATTTTTATAAATCATTACTAATAATTAAAAATGTTCCCATTTAATTCTCTCAATCATTTTAATTCATTTATTTATTACCAAACATTCAACTACATTACAGTAAATATTTTATCCATCATTTTAATCATATTTTCTAAAATTATTTCTGTTTATAATATAACAATGCTATCTTATGTACCTTTGCAGAATCCCTTTTGCAATTAAATTTTCACCCATTATCTCTAAACAAGCTTATGGTTACAATCCTTATATCTTTTCCCTGTTTCTCCATTTCTTGTTTCTGTCTTTTACAACTTCTTTTCCTTGCCTTCTTCCCCCTCTTCTTCTTCCTCCCCTTTTTACCCCCTCGTCTCTCTACTTCTAACTCTCTCATCTGTAATCCCCTCTTCTGTTGCTTTCTAATATACTTATCTTTCAAATTATTATTCTTCTTTTTGGTTGTTTTTTTTAGTCTTAAACCTTTCACTCTCTTTCCCCCCTTTCCTTTTTCCCCCCCACTTAAAATTATTTGATCATTAAAGATGGCTTCTTCTTTGTCCCAATCTTCTTGTTCTGCAAGCGTTTCTTGTTGTTTCTCATAGTTCCAGACTTCCATTTCTAAGAATTGAAATACGAACCTCTCCCTTCGTGTGCATCTTCTTTCCATTTTTTAAGTTCCATTTTCAGTTCTTCTAAGAGTGATACCATTTTAAAGACTTTTAAACAACCACCCGGTTAATTTTAGTCATCCAGATGCAAAAACCAAAAATCACCAAGTAATCCAAATAATCCAAGGCTGTTTCTTTCTGCTTCTTTTTTCCACTTTCTCTTCCTGGGGTTCTATTATTTTGTTACCAAGTTTCAATTAAGATGTATCTTTGAGGAATCTTGTTGAAATTTCACTGTAAGTTCCTTTT